TTTTTCTGGTTTTGAAAGATTGTAGCGACTACGTAAAGCTAATACAAAGTTGGGGATTTGTTTGTGGTTTTTAATTAATTCACAGAATATTCTGCAGTAATAAGAAAATGTGTATGTTCAGAGGCTATTAATGAACATCGGTTTAAGAATCTACATAAAGAGATGGACTAAACTAGTTTTCCATTGCTTTGTATCCCCTTAACACCAATGGAAAGCACTCAAAGACAATTGTACTTGACTTTTGCATACCAGTTTCACAGACCCAAAGAATTATTTTTAAGTGAGCTGCCAAACCTGGGTTTGGTGCCAGACTGAGCAGTCTTAGTTTATCACCAGCTGACCCACTGCTGTAATTCTAATACTTTCTTGCTATACTCTCATATTTCCTTACAAATAAGATTCCACCGTCACTGCAACATATCCCCCTTTTCCAGGGGTTAAAACATGACTGGAAAAGTCTGTAGCCTACAAAACTACTGCTAATATTCACCTGAGTTTCTACCTGTGCTTATAATCTCCATAAGGCACTAGAATCATTAAATGTTATGGGTATCTGTATCTAAACTTACAATATTCACTGTAGCCTGACACTATCCCAATTGGTTTCCAGCAGAATTCATGCCAGTGGGCACAGTCTGGATCTGATTTGGAGGATGCGATGGAAATAGGGATCATTAAAAACACCCCATTATCATACGGTCTGGTAGTTGGCTACAGTGCTGTTCTACAAACATGATTTAGTACAGATGTTTCATTTAAACTCTAGGTTTATAAAGGTACACATTTTTTTGGTTTACTCTGATTATAACCACAGTCTACTCCTCCCCAGTAATCAACTGCTAGAATTTGTCAAATGTTGTCATTTAATATGTGGGTCACTTCCAGTGCTGTGTTTGTTGCATGGAATGCTCCACTTCCATAGAAACAGATGTTTTAACTTAACAGCAGAAAGAGCTAAACAAGTGCATGTGAAGGCGCAGTGCAAATAATGTGTTTCATTTCTGTTATTTATAGCTGTCCACAGCTATCATAATTTTTTTATTTGAAAATTATTAAATCAATTACAAGAAGTTTATTTGCAGATACTGCCAAGAATGATGCACGCTAGGCAACTGCTTCTGGGGAAAATTGTCTTCTTCTGGGCCATTGCAGAGGCATTTCAGTAAAGTCAATCCATTTCTGAAAGACTACAGTATAACAGGGTCTGTACACTAGGCCTCAGATTATACACAGGAAAAAAAATACCCTCTTTAGATCTCCCAGCCCTTCTGGCAGATATGTCAGGTGTTAGGGCAGTGGAGCTAGTACGTACTTAACTCCTCAGCATATTTGAAGAGGGCAAGACCAGCTGAAATGGTGGTTAGCAGGAAGACTCAGAGGAGAGGGCTCTGGCTGGAAAGACGCTGAGCTGAGAGGATGGGTTTCTTCCTTCTTTCAGTTTTATTTGACTGAAATACATCCCACCCAAACTGGGAATTATGTTTATATGAAAAACTAGTAATAGTCTTATCTAAAATGCCAGGGGGAAATATTTTTTTGAAACACAGAACTATTTCTACATACCACAATGAAGAAACAAATCAGCCATCTGTGAAATTCTTTGCTCTTTAAAATCCTACCTGACCAGTTTCAGGTCACTCTAGGAGCCACTGATTTTTATAACAAAAGTGAAGTTTGAAAGTGAGCCATACTGCATACTTTCCAAAGCACACAGACAAAATAATTCGTAACAGTGCTGTAATATTCCACATCCAGGGGCAGATCACGTAAAGAGCGAGCTGTGCGCAACCAAGGTAAGGGCTTATAGCTGATACTGTCTAACATCACTTCCCAAACAAATCCCATAATTTTTACACTTGAGCCATGAGCAAGCCTGAAAGTACAGGCCAGGTTACTTTAAAAGTTCACTGTGTTCCCTTTCACGCCCACCCAAAATGCCCTGGATGTGTACTCCACCCACCTATCCAGGGGTTTCTGTGCGGTAGTCAGAGCCAGGCCAGATGAGAGAAATATCTATGTTTGGAAAGCCTCCGCAAATGTGGGACACAAAAGCAGTAAACAAATCAATGGGATGCCAGACCAAATGTGTTCCACATTTGTGAAAATAACAAATTTGACTCAGGAAGAAAGGTTTATGTGTCTTCTCCTCATCCAGCCCTTCCCAAGGTACTTTCTTTCAATCCCCCCAAAATTAAATCCAGCCCAGACAGCAGCAATATTTGTGAGTACACAGCACTGACCAAATGCCTTGCAAAGCCACTGACAGCTCCACGTGGCTTGGCACGAAGCACAGCTCAAATGGCTGAGCAGGTGTTTCCTCCCACAGTCCTCCTCCGCACACAGGCGCTCTCGGAGTGACACGGATGTGCCACCGCGCGGCACTGCTGGAAGGAACACCTGCCACTTCCAGTGGACCCAAGCTCAGGAACCAGACTGGCAACTTCTTCCCACACAACTCTCAAAGCTCTGCCTCTGCCATGAAATCCTGCATGGGAAAATCTCTGGATTATATCTCTAGCCATGAGAAAGACCTCGGGACACCTGCCTCCATTTGTGCCAGTGGCAGAAAGCCTCTTTAGAGGGACTTGTGAAACCACGAGAGTGAGCTCACCTCTCCTAAACAGGTTACACAGCATCTGGTAGCTCCACAGTGTGGTGTCCAGTAGCTGTACCACAGCAACAGAAAGCAGGCATACAGGCAGTATGGGACAGAACTGCTCAACATCAAATTTATATTAAACATTAAATTTAAAAAAAATTAAATTACTGAAAAGTTTGTTCAAAGCTTCTGCTAATCCATTTTTCTATTAAAATCACTCAGGGCTATTAATTAATACTGTGTTTTGGCACATCTTTCATGAGAGATGGGAATTTTTGAAAGCTGGGATATCTGGAAGGTTTTTATTGATCTTTTCAGTGTGTTTAAACTAAATATTTAATGTCCACTCATAGTAAATGAACACAGTCCAACCCAAGCCAATAAAGAAAAATGATGTCAGCTGATGGCTTAAAAAAATTACACTTCAGACAAAAAAATAAGCCATCATGACTGTTTGGCACAGATAAATATGAAGATATCTTGCATTAATGCATTATATATTTAGGGGCCTGGGATTTTATGTATTCAGTGAACTCAGCCCTTTCCCTGCAGCACATTTTCTACAGAGGAAGTGCTATAAATTTGTTTTGAATTAATTTTTGTCTTAAGAGTAAAAAGTCAATTCATGGTATAATTTACATGAATGAAGGTAGCCATTTCATACTTGAAATTTAGAATTTCATTGTCCACCTAAGTCATTTATTATTTTTTAAATCTTTGTTGGATGATGTAACCTCTATAAAGTGGGTGGAAGGGCCTCAATAATTTACTGGGACTGTCATTCATTTAGAATCCTGGTTAAAGAAGGAAGATGTATTACACTAGCACTGGATAAGCAGATTAAAGGAATACTAGGGCATTACATAGTTTCCTTGCTTTCTTAACTAATAAAATCATTATTTTCCTAGATATACTGTCTTCATATTTAATATATGCTCTCTTCCTGAGCAAACGAACAAAAAAAAATACTGCAATAAAACTCAATTGATTTAGTAGACCTCAAAATCCAGAATCCTTTTATGCATGAGCTATGCACAGTTTTGCCTGCACATTATAGTCCAATTTATCCTTCTTCCTCTGATACAGTTACTTGCTATAGAGTCAGACTCTGAACAAGGATTTGAAGATCCAACTTGAAATATCAATGAGAGAAAAGTCTTTGTTTGGTGTGGTCTCTTCCTTCTTTTCTTTCCATTACAACTAATTTCTGTTCATGAGCTAACTAATCTTCAGTACAAACCTAAAACGTAAGGAAAAAGTTATAACAAATTTACAGCTTGCTTTCTGTACCTGGCACCATAGCCATGTGTCCTCTACCAAGTATTTCCATGTTCTTCAACTACTTTATTTGCTGTAAAAATTAATGGAATCATAGAATCATAGAATCAGCCATGTTGGAAAGGACCTCTGAGATCATCAAATCCAACCCTTGATCCACTGCCACCGCTGTTACTAGATCATGGCACTAAGTTCCACGTCCAGTCTCATCTTAAAAACCTCCAGGGATGGAGAATCCACCACTTTGCTGGGCAGCCCATTCCAATGTCTGATTACCCTCTCTGTAAAGAATTTCTTCCTAATATCCAACCTAAACCTCCCCTGGCAGAGCTTAAGCCTGTACCCTCTTGTCCCACTGCTGATTGCCTGGGAGAAGAGACCAACCCCCACCTGGCTACAACCTCCTTTCAGGTAGTTGGAGGGAGCGATGAGGTCACCCCTGAGCCTCCTCTTCTCCAGGCTAAACAACTCCAGCTCCCTCAGCCTCTCCTCTCAGGACTTGTGCTCAAGTCCCTTCACCAGCCTGGCTGCTCTTCTCTGGACCTGCTCCAGCACCTCAATGTCCTTCCTGAACTGAGGGGCCCAGAACTGAACACAACACTCAAGGTGTGGCCTCACCAGCGCTGAGTACAGGGGAAGGATCACTGCCCTGCTCCTGCTGGCCACACTGTTCTTGATGCAGGCCAGGATGCCATTGGCCTTCTTGGCCACCTGGGCACACTGCTGGCTCATGTTCAGCCTCCTCTCAATCCAAACTCCCAGGTCTCTTTCTGCCTGGCTGCTCTCCAGCCACTCTGTGCCCAGCCTGTAGCACTGCAAGGGTTGTTGTGTCCAAAGTGAAGGACCCAGCACTTGGCCTTGTTGAACTTCATCCCGTTGGAATCAGCCCAACTCTCCAGCCTATCCAGGTCCCTCTCCAGAGCCCTCCTGCCTTCCAGCTGACCGACACTCCTCCCCAGCTTGGTGTCACCTGCAAATTTACTAATGGTGGACTCAATTCCCTCACCTAAATCATCAATAAAGATATTAAAGATATTAAATAGAACTGAATTATTCTGTAGAAATCCTGGCCTTCTCAGGGATTTGTGTGTTGAACATCCAGGGGTTCAGGAGAGCTTCTTACCATCCTGTCTTCTCCAAGGGATTCCTTTCACCCCTCTGATATGCATGGCCATGTCTTCAAGGTAAAGGCTCACAAGCAGGTCTTTGCTTATTCCCCTTCCTGACTTTTTTATCATTTTACCTAAATTTTTATCCTTATTCTGAATTCCATAAATGTAACAATCTACAATGCAAGCTCCAGTATCTCCTTGATCTGAAAGACAAGACAAAGAGAGAGCTGATATGAAAAGCAATTTCACAAGGCAAAACTATCCTGTGACAGTAACTTGATAACAACTATTCTCATACAAAATTGAGTTTATCTATCTCACTGTTTTCATTGGCTTGGTTTCTTTTTTTTTTTTCTTCTTCAGTTACCACCACTCACCATTGGCATTTTGCAGAAGAGAGCTAGATGCAAGAATAGACATTATCTGCACATATGCTTCTGTCATCTCAGCAAAACCCTCCTCCCACTTTCAGCATGTGCTTGCACTCAAAGCACAGATGAGGAAACTCATCTCCTTTGGCGAGCACCGGACAGCGACCCTGGGAGGGGAAGCAGCCAGACATGGGAGGTACCACCAGCAAGAGATACCAGCTAAAACCTGACAGGTGCAGCCTCTGAACTGCCTCTGCTGCTGCTGCTGCTGCTGCTGCTGCACACATTTCACAGCCCTGCTCCCAAAGCACCACCTGCCAGTACTGACACAAACATTCAAAACTAACACACACCTGATCAAGTATGAGCCAGTTTGATCCTCCTCCACTACTGTTTTTAACGTACGTTCACTGAACTGCCAGAGTCAATGCTCCAGGCACCTCTGTCACTCCTCTTGAGCCCTCTTCACATGTCCCAATCACATAAAGCTGGAACACTGCAGTAACCCATAGGTAGATGTGTTTATATGTCATAGACTTAATTTTGTTACAATCAACGGAAGATCTAAAAAAAAAGTGAACAAAAAATGCAGATGAACAGTAGAGTCAGGTAAGTCCTAGAAAAGATATCTTCAAAATCTTGAGTTTTATTTTCTTCATGTGTTTTGCCTTTTCCAAGTAAAGAAAAACGTGTTCTGGGAAAACACATCCATCTCAGCATCTCAGCCACTTCTAGGGATTATCCTAAACCCCAAATCCTCACTCGACACGCAACTCTGTCAAATTTGGTAGTGCTGCAGTTGTTTTAATGGGAAGATCAAGCAGTTAAATCACAAGAGGCAGAGGTAAATTAACTTTTTCTAAATTACCTAATGAGACAGAGGAAAAAGCTGCATTTTTGCAATTTCTGTTTAGAATTTCAGAAATTATTTTGTCTACTAAAGCTCACACAAAACTAAGTAATGTTTTGTTGACACTGGTTTATCTGGGAAAAACTCAATTGGACAAAAGTCCACAGAACATGTATTTCCAAATCAGTTGCTTGCATGCTAGAAAGCTGTCATTTAGAGGGTTTCAAAATAGTATTTTGTGATGTTTTATTTGTTATTTTATTTTACATTATTTTATTATGCCTTATTAAAAGGCATGGAGCCCCTGGTGGTCTAGTGGTAAAGGCGCCGCGCTGTCACCGCCGAGGCCCGGGTTCGATTCCCGGTCAGGGCCACTCCCGGGCAGGTGGGGCTCGTTAACCCTTAAAGGCAACCCACCTACGTCCTAAGGACCTCGCTGCCACCGTCCAAGCTCGCTTGGCCCCGGCAGATGAACCTTAGGATTAAAGGGTGGGCTCAGTTCCGCGCACACTGTGTCTCACCTAAAAAATCCAATGCGCAGGCTGGAAGGTGTAAAGACCTTCCCCGGATCTTCGCTCACGAAGACTGGCCATTGCAGTGAGGTCCTTAGGACGTAGGTGGGTTGCCTTTAAGGGCTAACGAGCCCCACCTGCCCGGGAGTGGCCCTGACCGGGAATCGAACCCGGGTCTCCGCGGTGATAGCGCGGCACCTTTACCACTAGACCACCAGGGGCTCCTGGCCATTATTAAAAAGCCATAATAAAGGCATAATTACTTTCCAATTTCAAAATCCTTAAAAATACCATCATTAAGCTCACATAAAATTTTCACTGAAACATCTTTTATTTCCTCCCTAAGCCAAAAGACTTTGTGTTTGACAATGAAACAGCTGGACACATGGATATTGCATGTGCATTATACATATTAACATTATTACACCTAAATAAAGCAAAAGTAAAAATTTTAGGAAAATTAAAATTAATATAATACAATGCAAGAAATATGTTTATAATTTAAATTAAATTTTACAATACCTTCAACATCTTCTTCATCAAAACAAACTTTAAAGGAAGTATTTCAGTATAATCCAAAGCAGCATTTTAATTTAAAAAAAAAAAAAAAAATTCTTCTCACTTATATAGGGAATAACCAGGAAATAAGCTTAGCTGTTAGTCCCAGAATTAGGAGACATAAACATCCACTTTTCCTTTATTATTTATTTGGAAATATGAATTCCTGTAAATTGACATTATTCACTTTTACTCCTTGCAAAATTATATGATAAAATACATAAAAATGAAAAATACTGTAACATAAAATTAATTTTTATTGTATTTTTTCTGGGAAACTCCTTTTACCTGTTTGGGGTACAATGACAAAATTCTATTCTGAGATTTCAAAATGCTGGTTTCCACTGCTAGGAAATTAAAGATCTGACTTGGATGGATCTTTGGATTCCACCACACTGAGGCACCAAGACCTCAGTGCCAATCACTCCCTGTCTTGTCTTACAGAGATGCGATGAAACATTGATTTCTTTGTGCCTTTTAGCTTAGGGTACAAGTGTTCAAGTATTAAGCTGATCCTTGTTCCATTTCCATGGCTGCAAGGAAACATTTTATCCTTCTAAGGGATGGACTAAACGCTCCTCTCACCTTACTTTTTGATTTGATCACTTGCGATAACATCTGCAATCTTTCAGTCTCCCACAGAGCCTTCCCAGCACAGAATGTCCCAGGAATCAGTGTGTTCTCCTGGTTTGACTTGCAGCTGCAGGACACAAAGCAATTCAAAATCCTTTTGGGTCAAAGCCACCTTGTGACACATCAGCAGCAATAGGTATGAATTTCTCTGGAGCCATAGTGCAGGCAATATTTGAAAGGACATTCAGAACTCCATTTTACAGGCAGCTCACATCATTACAGTAAGCACATGCTTCACACAGGCTCTGCTCAGGATTTTCCATGTAAAGTACTTTCAGCCATATTATCCATGCAAGATGCATCATTTCAGTCCCCCACCAACAAAATCAGAACAGATGAATTGCTGCGTGTTTTCCCCATACATATCATCTCCTCTCTGGTAAATTCATTCTGGCCACATCCTTCTCCCAGTGCTGACAAGAAGGCCAGGTTGTCCAGCAGCAGAAGGAATTGTCTGGGCTGCAGTCAGTCAAAGACTACAAAAACTCCTTTTCATATTTGGAGTTCAACTAGGAACGTGTATATTTTCCCACCCTGTTTTATCTCTGGTGCACTTGTATCACTGAGCTTCTGTTTCCTATTTGAAATCAGTTTTCCGAACACACAATTCTCATCCTATAGGTCTCCTGGTACCATATGCTTAGGATTCGCCTAAGCTCAACAAGCTTTAGATAAGATCAAATTAGGTATGAGTCAGAAGTTCTTCATGCTCACTGCAGAGCTGATCTCTACTCTCCATTTTCCCAGAATTAAAAAAAAAAAAAGAAAAAAGAAAAAAAAAGATTTATTTTTGCACACTCACAGGACATCTACCCCAGAGTCGAAACTTTGGAGGGTGAGGAGACAGCAGGTTTGCAAGACAGCATCATCTCAGCTCACCTGTCAACAGTACAGTGGAAAGAGTGACACAGGAAAACTGTTCCTGCTGAGAAAACAGGAACACTACAATCTCACTTTGCTTGTTATGGAAACATGGCCACCATCTTTTCCATCCTTGAAAAATAAAAAGACAAATAAAAAATTTTATTATTTGTCCTGACAATTACAATGACCTTAAAACCTGAAATTTGGCCTCACAGTTTTTGTTAATTTCTATAAAAAAAGCCATTACACACGTGTATTTGGAGCAACTTGAAGTAGTCTGCTGTGCAGCTGCAGACAAACACAATTTCCAGAAGGTGGTTCCGACATCTGACTCCTGTTTTAACTTGGTTTGGGGGAGTCAGTCCATTGGCTGGTGGCCCCTGTGCAGATCCAAAGGTTTTGCTTGCTCTGACAGCTCAGTGCACACTGTACCCAGTTAAACTCCACGGCAGGTTTCGGAACTCCTTTGGAAAAGTGAGCCAGGAAAGTCATCTTCATGCCAGAGAGGCACTGCCTGCCCTGCACTGCCCTTAATGGCCTTTTGTAAAATTCAGTAGCTGTCTCAAACCTTCAGATGAGAAATATGAAGCTGTGATTTAACAAAGGAATTTGATTACACAGAAATCAATCCCCTGCAAGGATTTGATAAACGCAAAAAAATTTCCTACCAAATTTAACAAAATTCCTACTTAAATCACTCCATAAGATTGTGATAAAGCACTTTGTTAAATGAAGACTTAAGCAGAGGAAGACAGTGCCTTTGTGCTCTCTTTGCAATAACAATCTGAAATGCCTCAAATTGCGTCTGCAGTCCCTTACATCTTTTATATTGTTTCCTAAATCAGAACAATCATCTGCAGAAAAAGAGAAATGATGGAATTTTCTCAAGCTGGAAACTGTTTCCAAGCTTCATTTTTCTTGAACAAGATTCTAAAGTTGTATATTACAACTAAATTTAATTTAAATGTTTTAGGCTGTGAGGATTCAAACTGTTGCCAGTGTGCTTAGCACACTACTTCTGGAATGCTTGTAGTCTCCAATTTGTTTATTGCTAGTTAACCATATCTATGTGGGGAAAATCCTTGCATATTTATAAGCTCTACCTCTTCCTTAGGATGTCATCATTTTGGTGGGGAAGAAGGTTGTTTTAAGAATGGGAGATAATATAAAAGCATGATTTCCTTTCATCAGACTTGTCTCTCTCCCTCACTCTTCTGCTCCTAGCTCTGCATCTAAATCACCACTTTCCACCACATCTTGGAATAAATGTTTACAAGATGCAATAGCTGGATTTTTCTTGTGGGTGTGCAGTCATCCCAAGACCTGGGATTTAATGATTTGCATAGATTTTATGCAGAGATGGATACATTTCACCAGAAATAAAAGGCAAGAGCAAATCTGGTTATCTGTGTATTCCTTTGTACACCCTTGGCTTGTCTCAGTTCAGTAGATGGAAGCACACATATTTAGGTTAACACCTGTAATATAGTGTTGGATAAAAAATTTGTAAAATATGCTAACTTTGTAATATTTTCTTATTTTTTTTTAATTCAAGCTAAAAAACCCTGTTCTACAACACACTGCTGATGGAAAGGCTGTGTTCTGAGTGTGTTTCTCAGCAAGTCTTCATATTCCAACATTTTTTGGTGGTCTAAGCACAAAACAATCATTTCCCTGCAGAGTCACAGGTTATCACACTTGGGCCCAGCCTCCCAAGGTGCAGGTCAGTGGCGCTTCACCTCAGTTTTGCCATGAAGAAGGGGATTTGCATGCAAAGACTGAGACACTAAAAGAGGCTAAAGCATAACAGCTTGCCCTCAGTGGAAAGCAGCTTGCAGCAGTGCTGCTGCAAAGCTGATCAAACTTCCTTTTAAGCATGTTCATAATAATGTTGTTTTTCATGAAATTATGAACTATTAAATCTGCGTGACATATAGATGAGAGAAGAAACATTCACAGGCCCACTGTAATTTATGAACATGTGGTGCACAGATGTTATATGAGATTTTTCTTCCCTTTACTTTTCAAAATTTGGATTTCATTTTCCCTCCTTCTCTCTAGTGTTCAAACTCTGTATTTGATGCTTTATTAGATGTCTCAGCAGGGTAAATGGATGATTAATAATTGTTGATGACAGCA